CTCTTCAATGAACATGGATCTAACCTCCTACAAGAACAGGCTTACAAACGCAATGCGTTCAGTTAAACCTGCTTCCACTCGACCTCAATCAACCGATTTTTTCGTTCAACCTGACTTACGATATAGTACACACGTTTTCGTTCGTCGAGACTCGCATCGACGACCATTCGAATCAGCATACGAAGGACCCTTCAAAGTTCTTCAGCGTGAATCTAAGTACTATATAGTTGAGAAGAACCAAACAAACGATAGCATCAGCATAGATCGCTTAAAAGCAGCGTATTGAGAAGGAAATCCTATCTACATCGATTTCCCTTCGGTACAATCGGACGACACGACTCCGACACTTATAATACCTCATCCGACGACCAACATGCGCGATGATACTTCGACAGTTTCCGAAAATAAACTTAAAACAACGCGTTCTGGAAGAAGAGTAAGATTTCCAGAACATTTGGACGACTGTTGCACGTTAGACACCAGTCAACATTTTGTTTCATCTCGATTTTCCATGGCAATATATATAATATTTAAAACAATCATATATATTTATTACTTGGCTATTATGTATATTTAAAAATTTTTTTTAACGAAAAACAAAAAAACATTTTGTAAAATTTGCTTTCACGTTATATACACTTTTTCGCCCATTTTATGTCTTAAAGCGCATACGAGTTTATTTCGACAGGCGCTTACATATCCCTTTTTTTTCCAGGACGGCTGGAAAAGACGATAAAAAGAACGATGAGGTTTACGAGGAACCAAAATTTTCATTGTACATTATTTTCTTACTATATTGTATTTCATGGTCCCTTAAAGTAAGGAAAGATGACCAGACGCTGCTAAACCTAGTAAGCTATCAGAAGAGTGTTTAACAACGACAACTCGTTGGGTTTGGACTTCTGGCTGGCCACGTCTTAGGGTCGTCACTACCCTGCTTGAGAAGGAGTGATCTGTAGAGGTAAATAGATCCCAAAATAAATAGCTCTGTAAGTCTTCGACATTCGATTTCGACCAGATTAGTTTTAGTGAACTCACCTAGCTGAAGGCGCTCGGTCATGCATCCGCGCCAGATCACGAGTGGGAACGCCGTGCTCAACATCTACTGCAATCACTAGCCAGATTAGATCAGACAATTCCGATATATTTATGGTCATCAAATATATCTTCCAATCTCCTCGATTTTGTCTTTTGATTTCCCTTGGTGGGTAAGAGTTATATTAGGAGGTGTTACTGGTTAAAGCGTTGTCAAACACTGAATACTTGTGGCATCATTAATATATATATTTGACCCCCTCGAAGGTTTTTGTGAAGTAAAGGTATATGACGTCAACCTTCTCCTTGCCATCAAGGTTGGTTTTCCATCCGTCCACTGCATATTACAGGTTAGTTATACAAGAGTGATCTTTTCTGAAACCATGCTACTGGGACGAAAGTAAGTATACTGATAGCAAATAATCGTGTAGACTGTCACGTACCAGGCAGTTCATAATTTTTAGGAGCACTGAGTGAAGTACTATCGGCCTGTATCTCGAAGGTTTTCTGGGTCAATCTCCACCGAAATTTGGTGTATTGTGAGCCAGTTATTTTCAGGTAGCGTGCTTCGGTTAAGTGAATGTGAGAAGATCACTCTAAGCCGTGTCACCTAGATAGAAGCTGCTTCCCTCAAATGTAGCGGAATGGACCATTTTTGGGCCAATGAGAATTGTCTTTATTAGGAGATGCACTTTCGGTACACCAGGTCGGTGCTTTGGTTCACTCCTGAAAGTGCTGCGGAGTTGCGTATGAAGCTTTCATCAATATAATCAGTGTGGGTCGATTGAAATGTCCGAGAATACTGTTCTACTAGAAGGTCAGTGACGTCACTGTAGTTGTCGGTTGGGCCATCAGGGCCTAGCAGTCGGGAAAATCCGGTTTTGGCTTGTTGAAGAGAGGCTGAATGACGCAATAAGCTCCTGCGTTTGTAGACAAATTTTTCAATAAGCTTTATCTGATTCTGTGGCCTGTCTTCTCCAGTCGCCTTTGTTCATGTGTTCCCCATTAATTCGAATTGTCTGTATGCTCGATTATTACCAGTTCGTTTGTATTCCGCCCAGTACCGTTTAAAATCCCAGCGCATGTATGATGTCTGAACTCAGCTTTGCTGATAAACCTGATTACTATGACGGTATGATCACCTTTCTCAAGAGGAGTCAGAATCGAGAGATTGGCAATCAGGAATTCTTTGTTTCTAAATCCTCAGTCTAAGCGCGACGGTGTCTGAATGTTCCTCGACGAAGTACCGAATCGATATTTCCAAATAATCTCAGATTTTCAATAAGGTTAAAGAACCTAGCTTCAGCAGAGTTATCACCTCCAATGTGCCGCGAAAATGACTTTAGGAAGATTGAAGTCTCCTTGAGTGAGTTAGTCCTTACAGCATACGGTTGTCTTACTCGATAACAGCAGCTCAACGTCCCGTAAAGTACTCCTACTAGACACTGAGGTGGTAGAGCAAGACACGGATACATCAAGAATGATAAACTCTGGGTTGCGCACTTGATCTACTAGATCGCAGGTACAAGGCTACCCCGTCCTTCATTCCCGTTTTTCTGCCATCTTGAGATAAAGACATAACGTGTGTTGTTAGTTCCTGGTCTGCAAATTAAGATATCCTTATTTTAGTTATTCTCATCAGATGAGTATTATTAGCATCACTGAGTCCACACAGCCCATCCATTTTATTCGACAAACTGGCAGCGTTGATATATAAGCATGTTATAATATAAATTTTAAACATGTGAGCTTTCTTGACTTGCTTATCTAAGTTAGTAGCTCATCGTTTCTACGTTTTCGTGATCATGGTACTCCACAAGTGGAATAGTCAGCTCCAATTTGCTTTTGTACTTGATAATGGCATCATGTGACCTGTCCGGGAGCGTTTGCGTTCCAGTTGGCAACTGGCATCTGTTAGCACGAAATAATTCGAGAGATGCACACACTGTATGAAAGAATGTGAAAATTATCTTCAGCAGCCAGGGTCTAGAGTCCCCGTCCTTCTCGGCTAGTCTCACCACTTGTTGAGTCAATATGTTTTTGAGCTTAAAGGACTGCTTTGTGGATTTCAGTTTTCGAATATCAGAGTTTGTGTGTCCAGGTTCCGTGTTTTCTGGCACACCTTGCGCAATTATACTTATTCCAAGGAAAAAAAAGTCTCGCAAGATTCTTTAGTAATGTTCGCGATGAGAAAGTGCTCAGAGCATGGTATATAAGGCAGTATTCGTACATTTCCATCTGATTTCAATAAGTGACTAGCTGGTAGAACATCCTCTACGTCGGCAGCGTTAATGAGCGTTACACCAAGTAGTCTTGGACGATTTAGATGCATGTAGTCCTTTCCAATAGAGAGCCGTGTGGCCGTCGGAGGCTCTATTTTAGTAAGTTTCGGCTTCCTGATTAACTGTTTCCAGAGAATCCCATCATTTTCATTCTACAGACTGAGGGGAAGGTCAGAGTTGTCTTTATAGTTCATGACTACGAGAGAATAATTTCAAACCGTGATCGTCTCCCCAGGTCTTCGGGTACGTTCGGGTTGAGTACTTTTTATTTGGCAGTTGAAGAGAGTTTCGGATTCCTGTACTCTTTGTTGACTGGCTGTGAAGTCATAGGGGTAGACTATACGGCCAAATAAGTTGATTTCACTACAATACATGGGATGTTCTATCTCTTAGACGGTGACACCCGATCCTTTTTAACTTTGTTGACGAATACCACTGATGTGTCCAGGGACTCTGTGCTGAGAGACCCAACTTTCCTGAGGGAGTCTGGTACCGTCGATGTTATGATGGTGATTCATTATAACCTCATTAGTTTCGATAAATGTTCCATCGATACTATCATTATCGAGGTTCTTTTACTTCACTGTACACCTTTGTTTGTTAATCTGTTTTAGGACAATCTTTTTTCGGGTTTACTGACAACTGTTTTCTCAGACCTGCCAAGAGAATGATGATTTCGCTCATCGAATCCTCAGCACTCATGTCGCACGTGCCACATACCTACTTACTTAGTCACTTACTGCAAGATCTGTGTATCTTTCGTACAACCAACCTTTGCATTTGTCACACTGCATACCCGAGGTGACAGCGAAAATACATCCTGGTCGCTTGCATGTATTCTCCATGACTATGGTGATGTGAGTTGTTTATTAGATCCTAGCAAGCATCTGAGACTGTTAAACAAAAAACAGAACACTCAAAACGGAAAAAAAGGATAAAAACGGGTAGTACAAATGTTAGGATACACTAGAATTAGCCTTGATACGAAAAAAAAAAGAAAAACCGAATAGTAAGCTGAGGCAAAACTACAGTCAACGATTAACTCGTGTAAAACTCAAAAAGATAAGTAATCTACCAAATGTTGAGCTGAGGGCAGCTTCTTTGGAAAAAAGATGATACTTATGTAGAGTAAGGACAGAGCAAATGCAAATCACATCAGAGCTGAACCTGTAGCACGTCGTATTAGTTTTTACCTGAAAGCAGGGGCTATCTGAAACAACAACGCAACAGTCAGGACTGGTAAATGCCTCTGAAGTAAGAACGCAGCATACTGGCACAACAGAGATATATTTGAAATTGAAAGCCGAGGTTATATTACAAAAAGGTATAACTATAACTTATTGAAAAATAGTTTTATCCATCGTTCTGCAGGTTCAGTTTACGTAGAGCTTGTCTCTTTTCCAGTACGTTTGCTCTTTGTTGCCCTGCAGTAAGAAAAACAAACTCGTGTTAGTAACGTTACATGTAATGACTTTTGCAACTGCTACAAACTTTCCGTTCGTAAAGCGCGCTGAGTCACCTTGGGACTGGAAGGTGACCTTTTCATATGAAACATTTGAGAGAAGATGGGACTCTCAATGAAGATTGAAGAAAGCCATCGGCCTTCTGTTATCAATGCGGTAACCTGAAATTAACTACCTACCATCATTTGGACCATCCGAAGGTCACGCTCATAATTTAAAGATGGCCTTCAATGGCTTTAGGGAGATTTTCGTTAAGCAAAAGGTATTATTTTTTTAGTGAAGGTAATTGCTTTCAAAGACTTTCCGTCCGAAGAAAACGTTTGCACCAGATACAATCCGTTATCACCTCCACAAGCGTGCTGAGGCTTCACTAAGTTCAGGGATCGACCTCAGGGAAGCGGTTAAAAAGCCAGATGACGAAGAACTGAATGATTGGATCGCAGTTCATGGTGAATTGAAATATAGATTGTCATTTTCCCAGTTGTTGATTTTTACAATCGCATCAACCTCATTTATGGGACTATATGTGATCGGTGCACTGAGCAGACATGCCCGACTATGTCTGGAGGCAAAAAGTTTGAATACCATTGGCGCGATAATATACATTATAAAAAGCCTACTCCACTACCAGCACCCAAATATGTTGACGAGTTGATGGACTGGGTTGACGCACAGATAAATGATCCATCACTTTTCCCAACTGACATAGGTAGGGTATTCCATACATCACGTGACTATACAGATATTCCTTTCCCAAAGTGCTATATTTCAACTGTAAAGAAAATATTTAGTAGGCTGTTCAGAGTGTTTGTGCACGTCTATATTCACCACTTCGATCGTTTGCATGAGATAGGAGCGGTATGTAGTTTTCCTTTTAATCATTATTTTTAGGAGGCTCATGTCAACACTTGCTACAAGCACTTCTACTATTTCGTAACTTATTTCGATCTTATTGATAAAAAAGAACTGGAGCCTTTGGTTAGTTTTTCTTTGTTTCCATTAATTCATATGATTTGTTTTTAAATACACTCAGTTGAAAGTAGTAAACTTAAATGCTAACTTCCGTTTGCTGGAAGAGATGTAATAATATGTACACAAAGGCTTTTTAGTTAGACTAGACAATATCACGTGAGGGTATACAGTAAAACCCAGTTACCCAAATGAAATACAAAGAATTTGGTTTCTGGGTTGTCTCCCAATAGTTTCTGCATGGGATTTGACACTGCGAAACGCTTGCTGTGTGTATATGAATCAAGATTCTTACTGTATAGTGCCTCAGTCCTTGATACATTTCACATTTCAATGCGTTAAATAAATACAAGACAGTCGGAAAGCATTGTCCATCATTTAACGAATGTGTAATATCTACCAACTGTTAGAAATATCCTTACTTCTTGGGTGATGTAAACCCGTCGAAACTGTTTGTCTGCTAACTTCTATAAAACAGAAGCGAAAGATAATGTTTCTTAATTCCTTCAAAATAAGTGTGACTTCTGTTTTCGAATATCAGCCTGAGCTAAATTTAGTTATACATAAGCAACGCAGAACCTGGCGTCGGTTTAGGTTCTCAAGGTATACCAGCTCAACCAGATCATAGAATAGTAGTAGTAGTTACAGTATCAGTGACAGTAGAACAGGCTAGGGATATATAATATGGTTCAAGATCCATTTATGCCACGACGCATATATATATATATATAAATTAGTGAGAGAATACTCTCCGTTCGTGACCAAAACGCCTTATTATTTCGATTATTGAGTCGTCATAGAGAGCATTTCATAAATGTGGTAACTAGTCGCCGAAAAACAAATCGTTTTATAAATGCCGTTGGTTGTGCATAAAGTGTGTTCATTTTAAGCCTACGTCTATTAGAAAGTAAATCACTTATTCTGAGTGCTTTTTAATATATTTAAGCTTTGGTAGCTCCATTCAGCTTTATACATTTGTAGAATGAATTAACCCAAAGAATCTGTCACTAAAAGGATCATATACATAAATTGTTCGCAAATTTTCCACATCAACATCTGAATGACCGGGCTGTCACGAAAAACGAATGTAATTTCATCGATCTCTGTACTTTTCAGTGTCTGAGTTTTGTTTCCTGATGTTTTGCTGCTCCGTTTTCCTTTTTCGCACAAAGGAAGCTGAGTTTTTTCACATGCAAAACACATTCTAATCATATTTTTCTTCCCTGCTTCTGTCCTCAAAATATGAAACTGCATTTCTCACTCATCCATACCATTATTCAATCGGCATCCAAAAATAATATTTTCTTTTATTTAGATTTACTATGTACGTCTATTTGTCTTACTTTTTATACATCTGTTAAGTTCACTTAACAAGTGTATTCACTATTTTCTTACGGCAAATCTTTATTGAACACTTGATTTTGAAAAATCTACCATAAATTATTCGCACCACTACTACCGACTATATTACATAGCTTTTATGTTTATTTTAAGCAATTAATTGCTTCCATCCTAACTGAAAAAGTCATTTCTTGATTTTTTAAAAAATGTAACATTTAATATTTTCCTTCTTATGTCCACTCTAAACAAATGAAAAGCCAAAAATCTGATTGTGTATACAACAAAGTTTGAATGATGTTAATTCAGTCCATGTAAAAATTATTTTTATAAATGTTTATTCTAAATCATGTTAATTGAGTAGCAATTCTACAAAATTAGGAGCTTTCGTTGGTCAAGTCGAACTCTTTTGACCATAGGTTCACATACTTAATCATTTGTATCTCAAAGCTTAGTATATGAACCTATAATTGTCGATTGCATGAACCTTTTTCTTGGAAATTCTTATCTTAATGTTGAGCGAATGCGTTTCGCTCTTTTTTGAAATGTTACCTTCTAATTTAAAATTTTTTTCGATCCATAGAATTCCGATAACTAATGTGTTCAGATTTTATTTGTAGTAAAACTTCGAGATAATATTTATGCTTCGTTAATCATTCGTTAAGATAACTTTTATGACTTCCAACGGTGTATAACTTTCAGAAGAGATTACTAACCTATGACTACTGTTTATTATTGGGTAGCATAGATCCACCAACCACACGGAGCGAATACGAACAAGAATGCGAATGAATGATTAGGATTTAGGAAGTTCATATATATCAGCAACTAAATGATTCATCTAGCGACTTCATTAACCAATATTTAAGCTAGTAGGAGAAATATATATGCCGTAACACGTGGTCAAAGCTTATGTGATCATGTAAGTGTAAGGATAACAATGTAAAGATATACACAAATTTTCACCAACAAAAATAATATTATCCGTCGAATAAGTTAATTAAAGGTCTCAATAAATTCAAACGTGTACAAACTTAAGTTGGTGATGATTCTGTAATTTTTATAGAATATTGTTCAAAATGCCACAAATATTCTCTTCTATTACATGTTAAGACTGGATTCAATATCTAATCATCTGATATCCATGTTCATTTTGCTCTGTTGTTTTGATTATCCATAGCCGAGAGTGGGTGGGCCCGCCCTCCCTCTCGAAATGCTCTCACACGGCCACGCGTATACAGCCTTTGCCAGGGAAGTCCTACTCACTGCCTTCTCGTGGTGGGGGTGTTGTTTACGAAAATGAGTGGACGGAAAGCGAATGTCCGGCGCTTTAACCGGATCCCAAACCAATGGTGCACATGGGCTCCAGTATCCTGAAGGGACAAATGGCGTATGAACCAATTTTTGGTCACCGGCTACCATGGGACTGCATCTCCTTACGATACTCCACAGCCTTGTGGGTTAGACCTTTAGGTCAAAGGCTCGTGGTGTAGCTCCCCAAGAAAACCACCTGCTTCGATTTGGGCACCCGGGCAGTATCACAGCTCGCACACAAAGTGTGGCGCATATATATTTAGTGCCCTCTTGTACCAATATTTATGTGTTCAAATAAATAAATAAATAAAATAGTGGATAACAGTAATTTACGATATGGCCAGTTTTTGTAGATACTCTGTGGAATCTCTTAAGTTGACCACATTATTGTATTCACGAAGTACTTTGCTGCTTGCAGTTGATAAAAAGTTGATCATGGGAACATAAAGTTTGCTTATATTACCTTTGCCGTAGTCGGATTAACTGTTGTGCAATGCTGAAAATCAGCTGTCATAATCGATCGTTCTTCAGACTTTATAAAAATTCATCACTTTATCATTTAAATTGTGATTTGTTGTCTCCTTCATGTCTACCAGTTACCCAGTTAGCATTCACTTATGTATTTCCCCATGGCTTTGTAGTACGGCATATAAAATACAATGTGTGGGTAGTTTTCAAGTATATAATAATCGATGCCTTCGACGCACTGGTCCATCACATACTCCAACATAGTGTTAGCTAGCATAGGGATAAGTTAGAACGAAAGTAGTGTTTGGCAACAGAGTCAAAATACATCGGTGGGTTCACAATCCAAGGTATTGGTCTGCAATAACATCATCATCTGTGGTTGGAGATGTTAGGCAACATGGGCTAAGGTTTGTCAAAGTTCTACCCTTTCATGCTTGAGTTTTATGTCATCCCATACTTTTCACAGCTTGACTCCACCTTATTGAACCTCATTTTAATGTTTCTTTTTATACTGCATCTAAAGTTGTTTCCCTTCTGCCTCTCGTTTTGTTAAGCTCCTTCCTGCTCGTGGAAATGTCAGGTGTGGTAAATTCGACAGTTTCATTTTCGTTCCAGGTCCTACGTTACTTATGACTTCTTTATTGAGTTCTGCTGGTATCTCATTATTTGTTTCCCTTTTGTGTCAATTCTAAATGGAAGTCTGTTTAGAGATCAATGGTGTACAAATGTTTTTATCTTGTTTGTCAATATATCATTTTAACAAAGAACTGAGTCTGAAACGGTCAATTCTAGTGACTAAAATAGCCAGTGTAGCATCACACTAACGATATATCTCTATACCAGTTGATTAATTTTATTGTTATCTAGTTTTCTAGGGTATTCATAACACATTATTTGGATACGTGTCAACTTAAATAACAGCGTTTCTAAATTTCAACTTCTGGTATGATATATATATATATATATATATATATATATATATATATATATATATATATATATATATATATATATATATATATATATATAAGGTACTTCAGCTCGCTGTTCGTCAAAAAAATATTATTGTTCATTTGAAAGTTGACTAGCCTATTATGAGTTTTGTTAATTATTTCTAAAACTGAAGGCAATTCGAATTTATTACTACATATTTGTCAATGGAGCGGAGGTTCACTATCAATGTAGTATCAATAGCATCAACACTTCTTCAACAGTAACAATTTGTAAACTAGACTCTGTTCAAGGCAAGCTTATTCTAGAATATGTATTTAGTCTACTGCAAAGTAAGATACTTGAATAACTATCCTATATATTTCTGTTTCCATCTGGAAAAAATTTGAGTAGTTAAATTAAATTGAATAAGTTGATAAGTCGCATATACTATGTACGACTACATAATTAATATTATGTTTCAGTAAACGAAATTAGTTTTTTTAATTCCTAAATGTAATGTTCTGGTAGACTACTGGTACTACTACTATTGGATGTCAATGCTTGTTCTCACGCACCTCCGAAAAAGCTGTAAAATGACCCAAATACAGTTTACTTGTCAGCACTCTTAAAAATTATCAGAAGTCCATATGCATATGTTGCTTTTTCTTGTGATTGGATAGAAATAGGCCAACGTTTTTTTTAGAACATCCATATATCTGGTAATCATACGAATAAACTTAAGTTACTGAGATATTAGAGTTAAATCCTTAATCATACTTCCGTCTTCCATCTTTTTTCACCGCTCAAGGTTTATAGAGCTGTAGAAGTTTAGTAATCAGTTAAGAATTCAATGTTATGAATGCTCAGGAACTAGATAATAACAACAACTGTTGTTTGTCTTCTATTGGGTTTTAATCTCTTTATTGTTATTCAATTAATGACATTAGAACAGTTTTACCTGAATAGTGAAGTTTTGTCACATAATAATTTTCATTTTTTGGTAATTCGTTAAATCTATTTCCCCATTTATCGTATACAGTTCAACAATTTTATATATTTGAAAATATAACTCACACTAAGTTGTGAACAATTACGAAAGTGATGAGTGGTTTCTAATTATATTATTACAAATCCTGAAATTTCTTAAAAGAAACACACAAAGTATATGATTTTAGCATTTATAAATTATCAAGTGGATTTATATGTAAATTCATTATAACGGTTAATCATGATAGTACCGTTCAGTATTTCAGTTAGTGACTAAGAATGAATGAATGAACATTTTAATAAGAATTTAAAAAATATACTTTGTAGATTGGAAAATAATCTTCAATCTGATATTAAGTGGTTATTGGGGATCAAACAGAAGCTCTAAATATACTTATCATGTTAGTCAGGACTCGTTAGCAGTATGTACCTTTATCTTCGTAGAATGTATCATAATAATATCTTGACCTCAAAGTAAAAAACAAAAATGAAATGTAATCCTTTGAAAGTTTGTGTGACAAGTTCTAAGTGTCACTCGTCATATGAAAGTACAAGTGACTACGTAATAGTGTTTAAAATGGGTCAAGGTTCGGAACAAAATCTCGTAGTTTACAAATTAACCAGGGATACTGTGATTTGTTAGAATAATATTGCTTAAGAAGTAGCTCATTCTGTTTCTAAATATAAGATCTAGAATCTTTTATTTCGTTTGTGAACGTAATTAGGCATTCACTTATTGATTCGACACCTTTAACGTACATGTGACAGTGACCGTAATAATATATTACATTACTTCGAAAATTCCTACCAGTTGATTACGTTCACAGTGGAATCAGAGTTCTATTCATGACTCTATTTTTTTGTATCGGTAAAACGAAGACGAGATGGTTCTTTGGAACGATCGATATACAGTAAACGGTCAAGATAGGCACTTCCACAGATGGATACAGCCGGTTAAAAAGAAATAATTCTGCCCTCTATCGTCAAGAGTCAGACGAATATGCACTAACGACATCATCAATGATGGATTAGATGACATCCGACGAACATTTGCTTCGAATGGTTTCCCACCCCAGTTTAATGATCGTAGCCTGTAACCGAATAGTGAAATTGGAAGCACCTCCACCGTTTCAAATAAATTTTTATTCATAAACATTAAGTTAAAAGGGAATAGGGTGACTAAAATACTACTAAAGACTTTCTAGAGTTCTGAGAATGACACGTTACTCAACTGAGCTCCGAGTCGTTTTTACTGTAATAACCTCATTTAGGGAAGTGTTAAGGAGTAACTGACTCTGTGAGCACCACCTCAGTATGTATTTATCAGCTTACTTGCTTTCACGATGCAGGGTGTTTTAAATGTTAATTTGGTGTACTTGCCACAAAAATATATGAGCAGCTGTCTGCATAGTTATCTATAGCGAAATACAAATCAATCAGTAGCTCAATCTTTGAAAATATGATCATTGCTTATCACGCGCCACCACGAGAATCCTCGTCCGAAATTGTCTATAAGGTCAGAGCAACTTGCTCAAAGAAGGTCTGGGTTAAAAATTTAAGCACACATGAGGCAGTAGCAGTTCACGGGTTTAATTCTGATCAATGCGTATAAAAGTCCCCTTTAATCCCTTATTCTTCTATTGTCTTCGTACTGGTTTTGATTATTACCTTATTTTTCATTTTCACAAAGTAAATTGCTATTTTTCATATTTTTATAAATTATTTCTTATTACCTCTAAAACTACTAAACAACTAAATAACATTTGAAGCGAACGTTACGGGGTTCGAGTTCCGAAGCACAACAATAATTAAGGTACAGCAGGTTGTTACAGTACGGACGACTCAGTCCGCGAAATAAGTTAACAAAATGGCTTAACCAAATTAATTGCGAACAAACGCAGTTGCACGTGATCTGCTATAAGACACTGTCC